TGTGTGTGTGTGTGTGTGTGTGTGTGTGTGTGTGTGTGTGTGTGTGTGTGTGTGTGTGTGTGTGTGTGTGTGTGTGTGTGTGTGTGTGTGTGTGTGTGTGTGTGTGTGTGTGTGTGTGTGTGTGTGTGTGTGTGTGTGTGTGTGAGTGACACTCGCATATATACTCCCACACACGCACTTCCATGAAAGTACACACACATATATATATAACCACACATACACTTCCATGAAAGTACACACACATATATATACTTGGACAAACTCAACATCTCCATACATAGTCACCCGAACGAACACGGACATATGTACACACAAACACAGACACGTATACTTATGCATCTTCTATTTGTACTTGAAAGCCCCCTTATGCCGCTTGCTTATGCTCGGGCAAAGTACCGAGTGCACTCTGCAGCAGACTGTTTTCTGAATCAATAATGTCTATCGCTGTGTTCGCGTGTGGGCATAAGGACACCTATACACATACGCACACACAGACTTTATTGCATGTATATATATATATATATATCTATACGTACAAATACACATACATACACACGTACACACACACACATGCACACACATACTTGTGCATCCTCTTGCTTGCGCTTGAGGTCCTCCTTAATAGCTTCCTGTCGCTCTAGCAATGTCCCCAGCACCCCCTTTAACGCCTCATTCTCTGCCTGCAGTGCGTCTATCTGAGCCTTTATCTGTGTTTCGTTGGCTTTGAGTTCGTCTACAGCCGCCTGATTGTCTGTGCATTCGTCGTCCTCCAGCTCAAGCTGCTTCTGCATGATGGCTAGCTTGTCTTGTGCTCTCTGTGGGTGTGCGAAGGACGATTGAACACATGTGTCGGTGTAGCCCAACACATGCGATGGGAGACCTTTCCTTATATATATATATATATGCCTTAAGGCCTAGCTGCTTCTACAGGATCAAATATTAGACGAGTGTGTGTCCTGGATGTCCAGTGTGCGACGGATAAGTGAACATACTTACATAACATAGGATCACTACCCTCAAAGTCATGCCATTCCTACAGGATGTGTCTCTTTGCTTATGCTATCTGTGAGTCAGTCTCTAACGAGTTGTTGAACAATATATAT